AGAGAGCCTCAAGACGAGTTGCGAGTGTGTACATATTCGTCCCCACCTTTACCGTCTCTTGGCGACCGAGTCAGCTCTCAATCCAGATATGGGTAGCGTTGTACACGAGAACAAGCGACCGTATCAATGAATCGGATCGGTATGTATTACACGCCAACCGCATTTCCATCCCGAGTCATCAGAAAGTTCTTCCCTCGTTTATTCGGCGAAGACTCTTAGTACAGCTTTCAAACTTCCTTACACACTGAACTTGTGAGGGAAGAAAGACGACCTTCGTGATTGAAGATTACTTGTCAAATCCTTCCTGACGCGTGGTCGCGGGTAAAGGAACAGTGAATTGGAATTCCGACAGTAAGAGGCAATATGACAGCATTCTATCCAAACATCGAGAGCAAGGCGCAAAGCACGAAAACATGAGAAAACAAACCACAAATAGGAGAGGGAAAGACAGTTGGCGGTGAATAATCGACCACTACAGACTCATATCGGGCTCGTGCGACGGCCGGATAGATGAATCCCTGGTTCCTGCGACGTGTTGGAAAGTGATGAGCGAGCGGGACAGTAAACGAGGAAATCTCCCGCACCGAGAGCTTCGAATCCCCAATTACTTCAAACTTGAAGAGGTCATTCCAGTATCCCAAGCTGTCTGCCTGCATACTTGACCCAGCTCCTCGAGCCACGCTCCACAACCGGCGCTTTCGGGTTGGTTTTGGCGGAAAGACGTTGAAACAAATCAAATCGAGTGATCCCTGAGTAATTCTGCATCCTTTCGCGTAAGTGGCCAGACTATTTGAATCAGAAAAAGTATTCCAAGACGAGAGCATTGTATTCAAAGCATCGATATCTAGATGTTTCACAGCGCGAAAGCATAAAAAGCCAGAAAAACTAAAACAAGAAGAGAGCAAAAAAACCCCGAGTCATCGGCGGTCGGCCAAGGGTCTCGAAGAGATCTGCTGGAGCAAAGGAAATAATCTCTATGAGGAATGAAGGCTACTCCACTGCATGAGAACACACCGAAAAGATCGTGGCTTTCATCCCATGATTCGTAGCTGCTTTCCCGCGTACTTGACCCAACTACCCGACGACCGCTTCATTACGGGCGCGTTTGGGTTGGTTCTGGACGCAAGTCGTTTGAAGATCTCGATGCACTCCGGCGCCCACGGGCGCTCGTCGGGATTTCTCGCCATCATACGCTTCGCCAACCCGCGGAAGCCGTCGAGCCCGTGGTATGTCTAATTTGTTCAGCCAGTGTACAATCACGAAGCAAACTTGGTCAACTCACGTTTACCATATCCAAAATAACATGACCGAGCTGGTATATGTCAATTTTAAAAGGATTGTATGGCACTGTATCGGATAGCTCGGGAATTTCATCACAATACTTGCCAAACTTCCCGACAGCTTGAGCGTTTTGAGGGGATATATCTGGAGGAAAGTATGTCGAAAGACCGAAGTCAATTATGAAATATTCGACTGGTGGAACGGCGTGTCGCGGTAGAGCCTGTACCGAGGACATTCTCCGATGGCCTTCCTTCAAGTATAGCCATGGAGCACAGATATGCCATCCGCGTGGGATGACTCTGGATGCGTCCATCATGAGGTTCCCGGGCCCAAGATCTCTGAAACAGGAGTCATTGCATGTCTAGTCGAGCGAGGTCAAAGAAAGAAAAACTACCTATGCGCCACATTATGGGCGTGAAGGTACTGCATGCCCTGCGCATCGCATTCAGCGTACAGTACGAATCAAAGTGCAAACGACATGCCGTCAGAAATTGTAGAATTGCGTCTGTAACTTGCCCAACGCATTCGAATGCAGGATCGTCAAATTCACGAAGGAATGGAAGGACCAAGATGGTAAAGCCGCTCAAAGAAAAAACGTCTAGAACCGAAACAGCCCGATTATTGGGAGAGGCGTCAGTTTGAGGCAGAGATCGTCCGAGATAGGTGGTGAGGTCCACTTCCCGCTGGTCGAAAGCAACCTTGAGGACCACCTTTCTACCGTCCGAGACTCGGATAGCATCGAGGACATTCCCCGCCTACCAACTGAATCAGTATACCGCGATGCCCAAAGAAGAGACCGTACTCCACGAATCATGTACGCATCCTCGAAGTCCATTGGCCACGCGAGCTCATTTCCTGGCATATCCCATGTTGGTACCCAGCCTGGTTGATATCTTTTGCGTAACGCGTAGCCGCGGGAGAGGAAGCTGGTGTAGTTGTCTGCCCACCATTTTTCAGCTGGGGGAAGAGTACGAGCATTTTGGCGAACAAGCTCCATATGTGCCATTGTGTACAGAGAAAGTATTTCAAGTCTTTTATGTTGGTCAAGGCATGTGGGCGCTGGGTGTGGGTCAGTGCGAGCTGTTTTTTCTCAAGAAGGATACGTAATTTCGTTTGCCGATGGCGAGCGGCACCGAAGTGTCACAGATGTCACAAAGCCCCGAGCCACGGTTGATCTTGAACCTTTTCCCACCGAAAACAACTCTTCATGGCCTCGTGGCGTGCACGAAGACCGATCCAATCTAGTGTTCAACCACATATAAAAAGGCGCCCAATTCCTCCCCCCTGCTTCGGCATCCCCTTCACATTGGTCAGACTCAACTGGGACTCACCAGAACTCAGGACCGCAAGTTGCCCTCAGATTTTTTTCTTGGCAACTCCGACTTTCAAATCCTTACACCCTACGCCCCTCGCATTTATGTCGCCTAAATCAAAGTCGAATCCGCATGCGAGCTCAGTTCCGGATTCAACATCGGACTCAGAAGAAGAGTCGCAATCCACAGAGTCTCCCAAGAGCACCTTCGAACTCATGAAAGACAAATATCTTCGCAAAAACGAACGCCACCTGAGGAAGTCTTTCGAAGATCTGAGAAAAGGGACGAACGCGTTGAACGAAGCGGCTGATCCTGAACGTGTCCGACAACTCCATGAGGCACAACTCACTAAGTCATTCCATTCTTCCACTGTGTCGTGACAATTGCTGAAATGAAATACATAGTCTTCGTCAAGCAACGGACGCTTTGGAACTCCAGAACAAGAAGAAGCCGACTCCGCGTTCCTTGGACAAGCAGATCGGTCAGAACACCAAATCAGTCAAACAATTGAGAAATGAAATCCAAGTGAAGAGCCCTCTCGTCACATATTTCCATCCTCTGACGTCGCATTCAGATTGATTCGAAAAAGCCCAAGCCCCAGGTCGTCCAAGCGAGGTTTGTCATCGTTCCGTATCCATCCATTCGAGTTTGATTGACGAATTCCATCATTAAGCAGCCATGTGCCAAGCCACAATCAACCCTCCTCCTCCGGTGGCCCTGCGGGATACCCTGGCGTAGGACAACAGTTGAGTGTTGGCTCACTTATTCAACTCGTACTAATTTGATTCACTTGCAGCATTCTCGGTTCTGCTGAGCTAAGGGAGGCTTTTCCATCCATGGAATCCGCAAGAGATCCAAGTTTATACCAAGATTCCTACCGCGGGCCGTCGTTCTCGTCGTACGTTGCTCGATCCCTCTTGCTTAGAAGCGACTACATCTTCCTCCACCGCAGGTCTCGTCCTAGCGACGTCACTCGCTCCAGTCATACGTTTGGAAATGCCAATGCCCCACGGTCTGTATTATCAGTAACCCACTGAGGAATGCGGCGGACTCACGGTCATCGAATTGTAGGCACTCGATGGCATCCGCTCATCATCACCCGGGACCTTCTTATAGTTCTACTTTCGATATGTCATCCGTACAGGCCACCCTCCCGCAAATTCAGCAGCATCCTGCTCAGTCACCGCCGATGTCTGCTGTCCCTTATTTTGCGCCGTCCCAGATGGTTCCGGGTCCGGGAGGCGCGCCGCCTCAGGTTCCCTACCCTTACTCTTCCTCTTCCTCTCACGGGCAATCGACTCATCGTGGCCGCGGCCGTGGGCATTCTCAAGCGTCCCAGAGTAACCCAGGCTACATGCCGCAATTCGCGCAACCTACGGCGCAGGGATTATATCCCGCTCCCCCCGGACTCCCTCCCGCACAGTGCCAGAATACGGTTCCCCCGCCCAACTCGGGTTATCGCCAGGTTCAGGCTCCGAACCTGAATCCGAACCTGAACTACATTCCGTCCTACTACTATTATTGCACCGCCAACGGGTGTTGGTATATGCATGTCAGCGTAAGTCATTCCAAACTCGCCTCAACCCGTCGCTCAATTTTTCTTATTTGACAGAATGCGCAGTAGTAGAGGTATCTCCCTCTCTTGAAAGGTTTCTTTCGCTCCCTCTCCGACTCCCCGCTCTCGAACGAAAATCAACAAACCCCACATATTCTCAGTAACGCCACGCCACGCTACGCTTTCCTCTCTGCTCTCTGTTTCGCCATTTCCTTGTGTGTTGTACGAGCGCATTTTGCGCCTAGCTCTCGAATCTCTGAATAGTTCGTTGTTGTTGTCCTCATCGTCGCAGGAGTCCTGTTATCGCTGCTATCGTTGTTGTACCGCTGCCGTAGTTCCGCTATCCTGTCTCGAATGTTTCCGATACTGTTTTGTACGCGCGCGATTAGCGCCTAGCTCTCAATTGAATAAACTGTTGTTCTATTGATTCGTCGATCCTCGTAAGCTTAGCTATGGGTTCTCCTTTGAGCGGGAAAGAATGTCAGGGGAAGTCGAATCTCTAGGTAAGTAGTGTGATTGAAGAAGGAGACAATTATATTAATACCTCGCCTGGCTGACTCGGAGTGCTAATGAATGTTCACCATTCTGCGCGGCGGCTGCTATGCTTTTCACGCGGGTTCATTGAAGTTCGGATCTCTAGAGCTCGAGGCGAAAATCACCGTAGTGTCTGCGACGAAGAGGCAGATTTTCCTTCAATGCTATTTGCAATTTACATAGAGGGTGTGCCTTGATGTTTACTTACAGCAAGCACATAGTATTTGGTCGTGAAGTGCAAGAGCACAGGGAGAGACTCGTTTTCGGGGCATAAAACAAATCAAGGCAAAAAAAACAAAACATAGAAAGTCTTCTTATGACCACCGCAGGGGTCGAACCTGCAATCTCCTGATTCCGACTCTTGCACAAATGACCCATCGTAGTCAGACGCGATGCCATTTCGCCAGGCGGCCAGCGATTTGGAAGCAATACAAACTTATGAGTGGTCAGGTCTCCCGATCACGGAGTAGATCAGAATGAGAGTTCCCCGGGCCGAACTTGATGCGCTTTACGATCCATTCAACCTGCGACCGACTTCCATCTTCCTTGTGACTCAAGTATAGAGTTTGGAATATGAGGCGGGAAAGGGCGGGCGAGCGGGAGAGGGAGAGGGAGGATACCAGTGGGTAGGATGTATCGTTGCCCTCGGAAACGGGAGAGGCGTCAATGATGAGGGGGGCAAGGGTATGTATGGTGCGGTTCGCCTTGTCCCTCACACTCACTCACTCGCTCGCTGGCCTGTAGACTCAGAGCTTGTGCCCAAACCTGGTCCCAGGTCGTCCAAAACGCGAAAACCTACCACGCTGCCTCTCTTAAGGTTCGCTTTGCCTTTGCTAATCTCTCGAATGCCTTGTTTATGTGTACATTCCCTTCGCGACAGGCCTGAGTTTCTGCTATTATTATCCTTCGCGCTGTCCATATTCGACGCTGCATCCTTGACGTTTCCCTCGGCCCTCGCCATCATACTCTCCTCCAATGTCTGCGTCGCTCGAGTGCATGCATTCCATTCGCATTCTGCACTCCCACGCTCTCCATCCGCTGCCAGTGAATGCGTACTACATCTCGACCATCCTGCTCTGCTCTGCCCCCCTCGGGCAAATTACTGCGTCTCTCGTCTCTCCACCTCTCATCGTCTTCCGAGTTCATACACAACACCTCTTTCTACTGTGTTGTGACTCGTCAACGCGTCCCATAGCCTCTTCCGACGACGATGACCGAAATCGAAACCGTCTTACAAGAATCACTATCTATCTATATCCACCCGTCTCCAGACAAGCGCCCCCCTTCTGCATAGCACAATACCGTCGTCGTTACACCCATCACCACAGCACGCTGCCACTTACCTCAATATCAACTCCTTCGGTCGCTCATTCCGTCGCATACATCCACATGTATTACCCAGTTCCACGCACCATACCAGAGCCTCCTCTTCTTGCCCGTCACCTCGCTTTTCTTAAATCGTCATCATCGCTCCGCGCAAGACCTACGATAGAACCCCGAGTCATCGAAATTGTTTGTGCTCTCTTCCCCTATACTCTACCCCTTTTCCCACTTGCTCTCCGGCTTCGGCTTCCTCTTGCTCGTGCTCTTTCGCTTAGGGCTCTATGTGCTGTTTCTAGATCGAGTCCTCTCCCAGTACTCGCCGACGCCGACGCCGACGCCAGTCAATACCCAGCTGCCGACCGCCGTCATCTATTCATCTGTAGCCGACCAGCATCTGTCGTCGAATGCCACGCAACCGGAAGAGCCGAGCAAGTCATCGTCAAGGGGACCCCCTTCGTCAAAGCCAGCAAGTATTGCGACGGTCACACGAGGAAACGGGAGAGGTGTCAGTGAGGGCACTTGAGGGGGGCTTGGGCTATGGTGCGGTTCGTTGGTTTTTCCTTTTTCCTTCACGGATTGACTTATTCATTCACTTGCTTTCTGGGTTACAGGTTTCTGACTCCTGGAGACCATGGTCAGATTGAGATGGGCTGGTTCCTGGGAACGGAATGCCTTTGTCATCGCAGACTATGGTCGTCGCTATCTTGCTTCGTATCATGCACCGGGTTCGCCTCCGATGCCTTCCTGGCGCGTTGGCGCGATACAATCGTTTCGGTCCCCTCTGGATGCAAGCGTCAAGTCGAGAAGAAGGCGTAGCGGTTTTTCTCGTGGCCTTCCTTTGTCGGACATCGAGGTGCTCTGTACAGCTATGAGTCTCAAGCAGACAACGCCTTTGGAGGCGCGGGGATTCAGGAGGGTTGTCGATGCTCTCCGTATTGCTACGATGCCGGCGCGAGGTACGTTTCGATGATTCTCTCTTCCCCGCTGTCTTATTTCGTCGAACTCAGCGGACGTGGATCCTCGATATCGTGTCATATCGATGCCTTAAGATTGACTCGTGCGGTCCAAGCTCAAGTATCAATGGTAGTCGATAATCCTCCGCCTTCGCCTTCGCCTTCGGAATCGCAGTCGCGCGTGTCAAGCTCTTGTGTCGTCGGGATACGGGTGCATTCTGATGACTGCGCCTTTCGGCCGTCGTTCCTTGCGATGGTGTCCTCGCGTTCGGGTGGGGCTCAGTATCCTTGGAAGTTGTCTGCCTTTGAGGATGTTTCTGGCTATCCCGCGTTACCTGTGGTAGTGGTGGTGAAGTGTGTCCTGGGAATTGGCGCCCACCTCGTCTGCGTGCGTCTCGCGCAAGTGGCCCGGGCGCCTGCAGGAAGAGTATATTGGCTCCATCTCGGCTCTGAGCAGAGGCTGAGGAGTGCATACTCGGTGCTCGTTCGGGGCTTTGGAGAGAAGCTCTGCTGTCGGGGTGTTTCTCCGCCAGGCTCCTGAGGGTGCAGTCGTGGAATGAGGCGGGGCTGGGAGGTGCCTCGTGGTCTTGTCGAGCTCTCGCGTTTCGTCTTCGAGAACAGCTTACGGCGCTACGACCGGCGTCGTTGTCCGACTCTCGACCGGCCAGTGGCTCTGTTTACCGCAGCGTCGTTCCGTCGGACGCTTGCGCAGATTGCAGCGGGGGATACGTTGAATGTCAAGGCGTCGGGCGTCGTGCTTCGTTTCGACAGCGGTGGCGCCTCCGTCAAGCAATCTTCGATGTCCTCTATGAACTGCGAATCTCCTTGGCTTTTTGACTCGGCTTGATGTGCCCCGGTTCCTCCTCCCGACACCGGGGGAGGAGGGTCATGAATATGAAAAGTGACACGGCTCGTGGACGTGTGCTGCGTGAGGCTGCGTGGTGCTGTACATCGTCACGCGCTCCTTCATTCCGTGGCGGCGTACAAATCCACCTGGCCGCGGGTCACTTCACGTCTTTTATGCAAAGCGGAATCGCGTAGCTCGGTCAAGTGCTGGTGTACTTGTCATACCAACTCGGAAGGCAAGCTGGGATAAGACTCGCCCTCCCACCAGTGTGCGGCAGCCTCTCAAACGCGTATCAAAGATGCATCTCTGCTCAGGAGCGTGGCTTGTCTCCCTCCTGATCTTTGGTGGGTGTGTGGGGGGTGAGAGCTATCGGGGTCACACGAACAGATGATGATACTCGTTGGTTCGAGCCTTTTGCCATGCAGGTCACCTTAAGGTATGCTAGCAGTCGTTCCTTCAATGTTATATACATTTTCTTCTTATACTTACTACTTTACCTATCTGTCTTGCTACGCGCTCTCTACAACTGCATCTGTATCTAGTAACTTTTTAATCGATTGAAATGAGTGTACTGTCAGTGTATGAGCATCCCACCGTCCACGTGATCACCTTCCTCTTCCTCTGCAACCTCGAACTCTCTCCCAACTACTTCCATTGTCAACATCGCCAGACGCCTCTCAGACAGGCAATATCTAGTTACTTACCAGGTTTCAGGTACGCAGTGCCACTGGTGCACAGAAAGCGGTCAAACGAGCTCAAGCTTTGCGTCGTCGTTCTGTAGATGCCACTGGACACTCAAGACATGAATGAATCTCACTCACATTACGAAGAAGACTGGGCCTCGCTTTCTCAGTTCAAAGGTCTTCCTGGAACGCGTCGCCACAACCTTTTGCACTCCAACGAAGCACCTTTCGATACAGAACTTACCGACTTCCGGAATGTGATCACGAAAACAGGTACACCGTTGGCTCGTTTAGACGACGAAATTGCTCGGACGCGGAGGCATCTTCAGGATCTAGAGGCCCGGCGTGCTGAGTTATGGAGCTTTCGCGAGCAGAACCGAGGAGTGCTTTCTCCTCTTCGAAGGGTGCCACTGGAAGTTTTGGGCGAAATATTTCAGTGGGCATTACCGTTGCCGCAGGACAGTCCGCTTCGGAAAGGTTTCAGAATCAGTGATAGTCCCTGGAACCTGACTCACGTTTGCCGCCGTTGGCGGGACGTCGCCATCTCTGCACCTTCCTTGTGGTCCTTGGTGGCTATCAAGTACGGGGATGATATAAATTCGTCGTGGTTGTATCCCTTACCCATGGTCGAAACCCAGATTGACCGAGCCCAGTCTCATAACCTCAGAATTCATTTCTATGGCAGTGAAGTCGCGAATTCGGAGTCGCAGATTCAAGTTTTGGAGTGCTTGATGCAATATATGTCTCGGTGGGAGGACCTCAGTATCGGGCTCACGTCGTTCCTATATCCCATTTTGCAGAGCGTGGGCGATCAGCTTTCCCTCCTTCGCAGGGTCTGGGTTGAATGGATGTGCCTCGAATCCCAGCAGTCAGCAGGACCGATCACAGCTTTCCAGCGAGCCCCTTCTCTGTGCAATGTTGCTGTCTGCAACGAGCACATGTACACACCGGTCTTCCTCCCAATTGGACAGCTCACCCGATATCAACTCAACGCTCCATGGCACTCTCATCGTGACATCCTGGCGTTAGCGCCCAACTTGGTCGAGGCGCACATCGCTGTGGCGTACGATGAGGAGGATGGTTGGCCAACCCCGCCGCACTCGGACGGCGAGTTTCTGCAGCTATCGTTGCTCAAGCGCTTGTTCGTTTCGCATCTGGAAATCCTCCAATACGTCACCTTTCCGGTCCTGGAAGAAATCGCTGTGGGGATAGACTCGGACGAAGTCGATGCTATCCCGAAATATCTCGAGCCCTCAATCAGTCGATCGTCTTGTACGCTTCGATCCCTGTGTATTGTCGGATGTCCTATATCGTGTGCCACTCTCGTGCAATTCCCCTCGGTCACCGAATTCAAGATTATAGTCGACAATGATGAATCGTCATTCGAGACCCTCAATCGCCTGCTAGTGGACCTAACGCTGGCTTCCCTCGATGCGGAGCAAACCATTGTCGCTCCGCAACTGCGTGAGATTTCCATCGGTCACAAGCTCGAGGAACGTGAATTCATTTTCGCTCCTTACCTCGCGATGCTTGAATCGCGTCACAAAACCCGAGATAGCGCGTTATACGCTGCCCATCTTTACATAGTATCCAAAGCAACAACTCGA